GTATATCTTCAACATGCAATCCTGTAGACGAGGTGTGTACGTTTTAATTGATTTTCAGTGACAGCCTGACTAAACATTACCTGCCTCAGGTTCGGCGCCCTCCCGTCTGGCCATTCTCACAAGTCAAACACATATAAATGAGTTTGACGATATGGCCATGTGTGTAAAGAAAGTCACAGTAGGCATAACCCGTTTTTAATTGGGGTATAACTAAATAAAAAAAAGGTGAAAACTAGGAAAGAGAGACAGGAGGTTTTTTAACTATTTTCTTTATTATTTGTTTTTTAAAACTTTTCAACGTGACTGAGACATAGACAAAGGAAGGGGAATAGAAAAAGGATGTGCCAAGCTACCCACGACAGGTTACTGTCCAAGTGCTCCCACCAACCCACTCCTGCCAACTTGGCACATCAAAATAAAAAAAAGACATAAAAGACAGACATTCCACAACAAAAGACTAATACGAGTAGTAGGGAACGGGGGGTTACAACCGCAGGCGTAGTTTTGGTTTTCCAATTTTCTACAGGACAGAACACTAAAAACGCAGACGCAGCCTGTCACCCTCGGTCTTTGCCCAGCGTACGGAGTCGCACCACGAGGCCTCAAAGTTTGAAGCCCCGAGGCGGACAAACTCCGTACGCAACTTTGACCTCAATGACTCCTTAATGGATGTAATCAATTCCGTGTGTGAGGAATGCGACTGCTCAAACACTGCCTTGCACCTAGACGCCCAGATCTTATGTTTCACTACGGCGAAGATGTAGATCAGCACATTTTTCCTGCATCTTCCCAGGTCAGGTGGGAAAATGTTGAGAAGTTACAACATATTCCTCCCACCCCACAGGATTGTTAAGGTTAAGTTTTTGCTAGGTTTGTGTGTTTATTTGGTGACCAGGATAAAAAAAGGATGTTCTGAATGGATTCCTTTCGTTAATGGGACTGAAGTAAGAAATACATGTAAAAGATAGAATGGGTGATATATGTGTGTGTGCAGGGGGCTGTTCCATTTGTGATTTTTAACGCAATCACCATAAATCCCCATGATCAGTTTTCCTTGACAGCCCTATGCTCAACCGCGCCTCAGAGCTGATTTTTCCCTCCTCTTTCCACTGCCAATCGTACAGGATGTACAGACACCACATGGTGTGATGAATAAAAAGCAAGGTCGTTTATTGGTCAAAGTTCATTCAATTGTATTTCAGATCACCAAGCAGTATGTAGAAGTATTGGTTTTCTATGAAACCATACGAGGCAAATGGTCAATTAATACTTTATCAACCATCATATAGCCTATTTAAAGCATTATATGCAACCCTCTATTGCACACAGTACTTTGGCACCGCACTAGTTTCCCTTTAAACAATTAGTATATAATAATAATAATACACATTGCATCACTAACGGCTGTACATGTGGCTTTTCCTTATACAAATGCCCACATATTGTAGTAGTGGTTACAATATATTGCACAGAGGATTATATTCTCCATATAAAAGACACAAACTACAAGCAGCAGTAGCAGAATCATCCATACATTGTTCTAAAAGATACACTGTAAATCACGATTTTAGCGGTACTTTTATATTCGCAGTTTCTGTACCGCAAACTTATTACTTAACATTACCGTGAACAATTAATTAGCTGGCTTTCTTTTGCTACCGTGTACATAAAGTGATAAACAGTATTAAGTGTTGATTGCATCCCACATAAAAGTTCAAAAAATGATAATACTCATTTGAAACCCAAGTTGCCTGTTCTTTTTACCGTTGTTTTTTTTGCTAAGGCCACACCAATTTAATTTGTTGGTTCTCGGATTTTTTCAGAAAAAATATGAAGCGACAGGGCGAAAAAAAAAACAGGTCTAGGCATCCTATTATAGCCCCAAATGCTACAATATGAGCCATGAAGTCAACAAAAAAGGCTGGGTTAAAATTTAAAGTATAAATGTTGAACTTTTAATCAAACCACTGCATTGATAGATGGAAAAAACTGTAACAACTAGGAAGAAAAGGAATTTCCTCAACTGTTGGGGGCAAAATATGAGTATTTTTGAGTTGATTCAGAACCAGAATCTTTTTTTTTTTTGCAAATCAGAAAAAAAAGAAGAGGCGAATCCGAGAACCAACAAATTTAATTGGTGTGGCCTAAAGTTTGTTAGAAAACATCTATTGCTTGTGATAAATCGATCAAATTGAACAAGTCCCTGCTGAAAGGTGTTAGTTATTCTGGTTAAATACAACACAGGACAGGCTCTCACTAAGCTGACTTGTAAGCAGGACCTGAGTTATTGCAAAATGCAATGAAAAATATCCCCTTAAAGGCATCCAATGCAATTTCAGAGGGGCAAAACCAAAAATATTTCTGATGAAGAAATCTGTCTGATTTTGTAGCACATTTTCGTCATCATTTTATACTTGAAGTGTTGGAAATAGCCCCAAAACAAGGTAGTTCCTTTATTATCTGGTGTCGCAAATTAATAACTAGAGCCACTAGCCTACAACATGAAACAAGCAACTGTTTTTCGTCAGCGACATCACATTTTTGCCTCACAGATCTTCTGGATAGTGTACAGAAAATTGATTCAACAGAAAATTGACTGAGAATCCAGTTTTGCTACTGTAAAATTGCATTAGATGCCTCCATACCTAACAAATGTAGCTCTTCTTATGTACATGTAAGTCACTAAACGTTTGATTAACTTTCACCCCTACTACTTGATATTCTACCTCAATGGTTAAGATGTACTATGACATTTTCCTTTTCAACAAGTCTTAGAAGTTTTGAAACAGCACATACAGCAGTAGCCCCGACTGTGAGACTTGGGAACTTGTGACGTTAATCAGTTGCTGTTTTTTTTTTGCATTTTTGTGATTTTCAGCAGCACTGAATCCTGACTACAAAATATTGCAGAAGAAAGGCACACTATTCTTGAGGACAATGTCACAAATATGTGGAAATCTGTAGATTTCAATGCAAATATATTCAAAATTCTGTAATTGTACATAAATGTCCATCTCTGTTCATTCAGTCGTTTCCTGTAGACAAAAAGGGTTGTAGACTTTTCTTGTTAGTGAAAGGTCAGACTCATGTACTGTACAATATAAAATATTACATTCTTTTATCTGTAATTTTTTTTGCAAATTTTTGACATGGTATTAGTAAAGGTTTATTCATCCAATAACCTGTGATGAAAATCTTTAACTTACTCAAAAAAGTTACTGTAATGATTTTCTGTTCAGATGCTGTCCATCCTCCAATTTCCAAAAAAAAAGAGCTAATTCAGAACATTCCAGGAGCACCAATTTCAGTTTCTAACACAAAATTTCCTTTCAAAGTGTCTTCATCAACATTCTGCCCATCAATCTGAAATTAACCTTGGTAGAAATACCTGTACCTGTAATAAGGTATGTATATTCATAGTCTTCTAGCTTCATAAAGACATTCACCCTGAGACATGTTGTGCGTTGTTTCAAAGATCTCGGCGTCAAGGCTACTGCTCTTGTCCTGCAGTCACAACAATCATCCTATCGACTCAGTGATGACAGTGCACTATAATTGCCATTCCCATATAGTATAGCAGGTTGTACAAAGGATGACGGTGTGAAAACTGTTCATTTCTGTGAATAATGAGGTAGCCTGGGTATTTGAAGACTGAGTGTCTTGGAACAATCTTCATTCAAGACAATTCTGCAATTTTGATTTGATGAATTTAGAAGAAACAACTGTCAACTGCCATTATATGGAAGCTAGGTAGAGTGAAGAAGTTACTAGTAGATCAGGCACATATCAAGTAACTGTCGCCTCCGTTACTTGTCTAAAGACTGGAAGACAAAATCATAATTATATAGAATACATGATTGTACATTTTCATCTTTAACAATGTTTCCAGTACCAAAACCACAGTATATCTTGAAACAGCCTTCAAAAAGTGTTAGACATACAGGTGTAGCTCTGTTTTTGAGACATACATAGATTTCCAGGTTACCCCTTTATTCACAGAAAAGTTGACATTTAACACTCGTAGTTGCTGTTTGGATGTTTTGTCAGGATGGTCCAGGGTCTTCTTGCTCTTTTCTTTTGTCCTCCTCTTTTTCTCGTCTTCAGGTTTGCCTTTAAACTGTAGGCGTTGTGTGGGAAGGGGTAGAGGTCGTCCTCGCAGTACGGGTTCTTCACGTGGGCCTCCACGTAAGTCTGCAGCAACTGTCCGATCGCTGCTGCGTCAGCCTCAAAGGGGGAGTCTGGGTAATTCTGCTTCAGCCACGCCCTCTCCTGCAGAAGGACACAGAGTTAGTCTTCCTCCCTGAATAGTTTCACCAGGTTGGAAAGTCACTGAGAAAAGAAACTCTTTCTACACAACCAAGTCTTTTATTCAGCTGACGTTTCGGTGACCGTCTGTCACCTTCCTCAGGGCAATTCTGACTGGTTGACATTGCATTGCAGCGCAGGTGTTACTGCTATGTAGATGCACTCCCAAATGTACAATATTTACAAATCTACACATATGAGTGTTTACAGGGAAGGAGATGGATGTATACAAAACTGTGGTCAATATTGTACATCTGGGAATGCATCTATAGCAGCGACACCTGTGCTGCAATGCAATGTGAACCAGTCAGAATTGCCCTGAGGAAGATGACAGACGGTCACCGAACATCGGCTGAATAAAACACTTGGTTGTGTAAAAAGAGTCTCTTTACTCAGAGTTAGTCTCCTGTATGCCCTCATCTGGACCACTCTTCTAGTTGGATAAGGCCACACCAATTTAATTTGTTGGTTCTCGTTTCTTTTTAAGAAAAAATACAAACAGAGTGAACAATAAAGCAGGCCTAGGTATCCTGATATGATATCATGATATGACACAAGGGCCAGTGGTAGTCTACCCTGGCTCCCAGGACACCGGGCATCAAACCTGCGGTGAACACAATGCACTAACCACTAGGCCAAAAGGTCCGGACCCACTGAAGTGCACAGGGAAATCAGAAAAAAATGAAGTGGACAAATCTGAGAACCTATTGTTTAAATTGGTGTGGCCTAAAGTGACTTACATGGAGTGCATACAACATGGGCACTTGTCATACAGTGCAATTAGGCAATAGAGAGTCTATTATTTCATTAATCTAGTTTCTTATTAAGTAATTCTACCATGCTCTGTAAGTGTCAATGCATTGTTGTTTGTCATTAGATCAGTGCTGCAACTCATAGGCACTTCACAAGTCAAATCAATTTTATCATGGTCATTCACAGGCAGCGAAACTGCCCAACGTTACATTCTTCAAATGAAACTATCCCCTACTTGTAGTTGCTGGTCTTAGAACAAGATTCCTTCCCTGAAAATGTCAACATGCTTCTCATGTAACAATTTCCAACAGATAAATTTGTTCAGTTTAATTTCATTCGGGGGACAAAACTTTGTGGTTAATTGTAAACATTCATACTGCACAGGGATGCAAATTAAGGTCAAATTGATAAGCTGTTTTTTTTTATAAATACATGTATCAATGTCTTCTCTGCATTGAAATGGCCCATATAGCTAGAGGCTGCACACATGAAAGGCACATTTTGGCTGCAAGAAATAACTTTCATCCAACCAATGCATGCTTTTACATTGCAATCATTCCACAACTTGTGTCACTGCTCAAGCTGGCAACATTTCCTAAATCAGGGACAGATCTGGCAAATACTGTACCACTAGACATGTAAAACTTTGTACATCATATCAAGAGGGTATTACTAAATGTATGATTGTGAAGACCATGGCACACTGTACAGTTGAACAGTCCATACAGAATTGACTACTTTTAACCATCCAAGTGTCAAGGCTCAATTATGAAACCTACTTTGAAATGGACTTCACATTTGGATGGTTAAACTCTACGGTGTCGGTCCGTCTTTATTTGTGTAGAAGCAGGCAACGGCATGCCACAACATTCTGTACATTGACCTTGTACAGCACTCAGCATACAAGATTGTACAATGCTTTTGATTCATAGATACTTTGGAGGATGAAGCATTTTATAGTACAAATTCACAGAAATGCCTTTTCAGCATCCATAGACAACTTATGAAACTGGAGTAAAGAAATCAGTCACCCTGAAGCTCATCTGTCCTCCTACGTTCTTCTGTTCTGTTTTCGCTAGTCTGCTCAAAAGGCTTTGCCCCATCTCGCGTGTCTTCTGGTGCCGACGCAGCTGAACATCCCAGGCTGGTCCGAAACCTCTGAAAACACGAGGGGTTGGCCTGTGACGTTAGCGCTTCAACCTCAACCAGTAAGTCTCCCTCCAGGCTGTCGGCACTGTCTTTTCTGGACCCGGTAATCATCCTCATGATAAAGCATTGCCTTTTCTCAGGGCTTTCTGCAGCGGCCTTGTCGTATTTCGGTTTCGGAGAACTTCTCTGTTGTGTACTACAGGCTGCCCCTATGTTATCTGTAGTCCTGGACGTGCCGGGTTTTACGTGCACCCTCTTTGGACTCTCGTTGGATTTTGGTCCAGAACTGCCTTTCGTTTTAGAAGTATGAATATCTCTGCGATTTTGAAGAGTCCGGGTCTCGCCTACTGAACCTGAAAAAGTTGCACTGCGCTTTTTTCTGGGACTGCCAAGGTCTGACGGCACCCTGCTGTGCCCTGTTCCACTACTCGCTGTGCAGACGTCCTTCAACTGTCTGTTTTGTTTTACCCTTTGAGAGTCCCCATGGCCAGTGCGAGTCACTGCCGTATGTAGAGCCCTTGTTTCGTCCTTTCCGCTCAGGAAAGTTGTGGTATCCTTCGCTGGTGTAGCTGCTTTGACAGTGCAGGGTGTAGGACTTTGCTTTCTCGACGGACTTCCTACGCTTGTTCTTTTTGCCAGTGGACTCCTCTGTTCTCCTATGCTGCCTGAAACTGTCGCACTGCGCTTCTGACGAGGACTGTCCACAGCACCTCCCGTGAAGCGCTGCCTCTGACTGGGGCTGTCCTTCGCCTTTGCGTTCTTTGCCAACGTGGGGCTGTGCTTTGGTCTGGGACTGTCTTTTGCGCTTGACGTTTCAGGTGGTTTCACAATCAAGCTCAGGTCTCTTAGGAGAGTGACAAAAGAAAAAAAGTGGTTAAGAGACAAACAAGAACGACATAAACCACACTTTTCTATGAGACACGACACAATACTGAGCCATACAAAATGACACAAAGACGTACTAACCAAAACCATACAGCTTGTTGTAACTTAAACTGCTGTCAGTGTGGTAGGGAGAGTGTACAATGTATCTCTGTCAATAAAACTTTGTACTGTATTTTGAGCAGCAGTGCCTAAGAAGTTCTTTGCCAGATCTGTCTCCTGATGTCTGTTATAAATGATTCTCTGAGTGTACAACAATGTCTTTGAGAAAAAAACGAAAATGAAGTGAAAAAAAGGTTGGCTGCATCAAACACAACAAACCGGTACAGTCACTGAGCCCATGAAACAAGAAAAACTTAATTTTCTCGTCATTACATCCAATTAAAATTCATACAGCACAATCAAATTCGCACTGTAGCATTAAGAATGATCTATATGGTGGGTCACATTATGAGTCGGACACCAATGGGCCACACAGTCCTTAACATGTCATTTTTCACTAGCCTTAAGCTTGATGCCCTCCTCCAATCAAGTTTGCCATGAAAGTGCCTTGACTTTGCTTGTTTGCCATTGCAAAGCCAGGGCTACTGGACCGTCAGGACCTTGAATCATATTGCTCTTAAATTTTATAAGCTTGCATGGTACTAGACTGCACTGCAGAAGTGTTGCAATGTGCCATGCACTGATACAGCTGTCTCAGAGTATGTATTATAAAACCTATAAAAAGAGAATGAAAGCATAACCCATGGACATGTATGGTGGCAGTGCAATATGATCTTGTACATGTATATGTGATGAGCAGCCATATGAAAATGCAGCATCAACCTCAGCCATACGTATGTGCACCGGGCAGTCAGAGTGACTATACTGTAAGACATGCATCCATGTAATCACAAAGTTGTACACATCCCATATACATATACAGTAACTGTGAATATAGGCAAACTATGAATACGCAAAGTAGAAATATGAATAGGCAAGCTAAGGTACACAGCTTCTTGTCACTGATACATGTTAAGTTATTCATCAAACTTCTGCATAAACAGGGCAATCTGATCATATACGTATGTATATGATCAGATGTACAGTACAAATGTGTGCATTGAACATGCTGGTGGTCCAATATGATCATGATACGGCCAGATGCACTAGGTGAAACTTGGCTTGAAATGTAGGCATTGGACAGCCAGGCTATAAGTCATTTCCCACGCATGCAAAAATGTTGCACAAATATACAAGGAGGCATACATAAAAGAGAGGCCGCAGTAAATATTACTAACATAATAGCAATGCAAGAAGGTATGAAGGTTTGCAACCTCTTGCAACTATCCATAAGTGCTTCAAAAAAGAAAATTGGGAAATGGGCCATCTTTTTACTGATTAGTCTCTTTGAACTTCCCACAAGTCAGATGTTGCTATCAGAACGTAATATGTTCTGTTTCCCACACTACGGCAAAGGAAGGGAACAGTGGGGTACAGACTGTTAGGTCACTGGGAATGTCTGGGATCCTTTTAAAAACCAAAACTGGCAGCAAGTTTAGTGCCACAGACAGAGACATACATGTTGTGTATATATATATTACGTGTATTTGGGGCACCAGCTGTTGTCCTAACTGTGATATCTGTGTGAAAATATTCGGGGTCTGACATTGGCTGTGTGACATCCTCTTCTACAGGAACTCAGGCGGTACCAAATTTGACTGGAATTTGGATCATGAAACATATCGTGCAAACACCAGCCTTAGTAACTGTGCTTTCCTACGCTCACTTAGGCCTTTTAAATGCAATATCACAGTGCTGGCTATTTTAGACGAATAAAAAAAAAACACGAAACAGCTATACAAAAAGAAAACATGAATCGTACACAAGATAGAAAACATGAACATATCATAAATGAAATTGTACATGTAAGTTTGCGTCTACATCTATTTTCAAACAGGTCTTGCACACGTTTATGGAAAAAGGTTCTTGACAGACAAAATACAAAAAAAAAATATTTTGGGGCAGCTTTTTTATCTGCGCTAAAACTGAAGAGCTGTCTACCTGAGATTTTGTTAAAACATGGAGGTCTCTTTTTTCTACCTCCATGGTTAAAATTAGAATTAAAGTGTTAGACTGTGTATCTTTCTTCACAAACATTGTCACTCTGTATCTCAGGTGATGTGAAAATTAAGAAAAAAATTACATGCCAAACAATTTTTTTCACTGGCGGTTCCAAACGATAGTGCAAATGATAAGGATGGTTGACAGGTGCACAAATAACAGCTGGTACAGATTCGGCTTTGTACGAGCGAGAGAGAGAGAGAGAGAGAGAGAGAGAGAGAAAGAGAAAGGGGAGAAACAAGCACAGGAGAGTGGTCTAAGACCTAAAAATGGACAATGGCCAAAAAACAGCAATTATCATCAAAAGCAAAATCAGACTCTCTCTCTCCCCAACACACATATAGAACACTCAAAAAAGTTCAATAAAAACTTGCTAATTACAATAGCTCTTTCACTGCTTCTTCATCTTCAGAGAAGGGTGAGTGGGGGTACTTTTGGCGCAGCCATTTTCTAAGCTGTATGTGCAAGATGGGATAGATCGTCAGTGGTTAAAGATTCATCGGATAAGAGGAGTGATCAAATGGGCGAGAGAAATTAACACGGAACAAATCAGGATCCGTTAACAGAATGCGATGGCGTGAACTGGGATGGCCAGAAGGATGTTGACATTGGCACACAGTGATTGTAGCATCAGACAAAATAGTTTGCTGCTGCAAAGGCAAGATCATGGTATATGTATGGAAGTACAGAATACAGCATATCCCAAATATGAAACGCTCAGTATGGTTAGTGGCTGTGCTGAGCATGATGGGCAATTCTGAAGTATATACCATATATCAATTGGTTCGTTAATGGTTATTTCAGGAGAAATTAAAGAAATTTTCGTTGATGAAAAGAAACTTGATGAATTTCAATTATCAATGAATAAAAGTTGTATTTTTAACTGCTTTCTGCACCAGACAGTGGAATTCAATGTCATACATTTTTATGTATGTTGAACATTAATTCTTAAAAAAATCAATTTTGCAGCAATGCAGGCAATTTACATTACAGGCTACTACATATGTACAAGCTGAACTGACCATGTTTCTGGAAAATACGTTTTCCCACAGAAGTAGAACATTTCAAATGTTTTGGATGAATCTAAAGGATAAAATCTGCAGCAATGTGTAATTTGCTGTGGACGCTAATTTTTTTTATAGCTGCTGCACCTCTCAAGTACTCTGCTAGGAGGAGCTAATAAACCATATATATTTTCCCTTCACCTGTTCTATTACCACAGATTATTCCATGACAAACAATCTGGAAAAAATTCTGGAATCTCTCATGAATAGTCTTAATACGTCCAAAACAAGCTTCCTACAGAGGCTTTGCAGCAAAGCAACAAGGTGCTATAATTATCTTTATTTCTATTTCATACAGCCTGACAAATCAAATCAAATCAAATCAAATCAAATCTTTTTACCATTTCTTTGTGACACTTGCACAACTATGCAATGTTTGAGTGTTAGAGATAGCAGTTTTTGCATGGGTTATACATGGCTGTATATTAATATTTACAAAATCCAGAAAAAAGGATTAGAAAAGTTTTGTGTTGTGGATTCAAAATAATTTAAAGTCTTGGATAATTCCACAATGTATGCAATATCCAGGCAATCATAAAGGAAATTGCAGTGAAAAGATAAAAGTTTTCGAGATAAGTTCCAGAACTGAGTGATTTGAGTGTACATTGTACTGTGGGTACTTTACCTGGTGGGTTGGGCATCACATGTTGGGACCCAGGAACAAGCAAACACAAGGGATGGAAAAGAGGAAACATCAGGCAGTAAGGATACACAGTTGAAGAATAAAGAGACTGAGTCTCGTTTTTACATAACCAAGACGTTTGAGTGATTGACTGTCACCTTCATCAGCAAGGGCAAATCTGATGACTGGTTGACATTTCACAGCACAGGTGTCACCGCAATAGACATAGATGCATTCCCGAATGCAAAGTACATTCATTTTGTATAATATACATACATGTATCTACATGCATGGTTACAGGGAACAGTATCTACGAACCATTACGTCCGGTTCTGATTCAACCAAGTGTACTTGTGTACACACCACTATAATGTCAGATCCAAAACTTTATGTCTTTCAAGATCTTGCTGGCAGCCAACTAAAACAACAGCTAGGGTCGGGAGGGTTTTGCTAAGGTCGGACAGGTATCACGAAATTGTAGAGCAATAGTCTGTATATAAATAGTACAGTGTATACATGTATTCTGAATCATTACTGTGAATGTTGCCCACCTCGGATAGCCTCATTGCGTCAAATTCCTGTAGCTGTCGCTGGAAGCCGAAGTTGGGGTTTGCGACGGCGCGGGCCTGCCGTATAGCCTTCAGCGTGTCCCGCCAGCCGAGGTTCGTCACCGTCATCACGTACGCTGCTGCCACGGTTACGCTTCTGGACACGCCCGCCAGACTAACAAGGAGAGACAGACAATTACGCTCAGTTAAATAACAGGGCCTGCATGCCCTTTTTCATAAGGCGTAATCAGGCCCAAAAGCATTGTAATTCGTAATCAGACATTAGCCATAACTTGTAATTGTTCATAATCAGCTCTGAGAATTTAACGTAATTCGTAAACACTACCCCATGTTATCTATTACACACTGTAATGAATTTTAAGTAATGTGACATATTAAGGGCAAACTTACCAGTGTATCAAACAGGCACCACCACCAAGCCTGCAGAGGAAATAAAATACTGTGTAAAAAATTAGGTTCAGACAACATTCTGGGATGATCTAACAAGTGGACACAGTGTCAGTCTCTTACATTTAAGAGGCAACTTAAGCTGTTCTAAATCACCAATCTATGCTAAATGTACTTAATAGACACATGTAAGATAGTCTGATTTGTGACAGTCTCTGTAAAACATAGAGTTTGAAACAAAAATTGCAAACTTACCTTGACTCATGAATGAATTTGATGGATTTTCTGAAGTGCTGAGTTCTGAAATACATGTATTGTAAAATAAAATCAAGGTTTGTCATCAGACTTTGTAACTGTAAAATCAGAGAGCTCAGTTTCCTTTGATATAAATATAATATAAAAATTGTTTAACATATACTTGCTGCCTACACATACATGTAATGCTGAATATTGGAGTGCCTAAAGTGTGATCCCCTAATTGTCACACAACTTTTATTTTATACTTTGCTTTTAAATGTATCATCAGAACAAATCTTCAGATATCTTGATATATTAGTCTGAAAACAACATATACTACATGTAGATGAAAGTTTACAACACAATACAATGCTGTGTTACATTGTATATTTAGCCACTGCATCTAGTGAGTGCTATTGCTGGCAGTAGTTCGATGATGGTGTATATAATCAATACCCAACACAGCCAGGAATATCGACTGCTCTACCTTATGTGACATATGCCCTACTTTCCCACACCAAAACATGTTACAAGACTACTTACAGGTTTTGATGTGGCGAGTCCGAAGCAGGAATACATAAATAATTCATGTCCTGCAAAGAGAAGATGCATGTCGTACGTCGGATCGATACACAACGACCTCTGTGTTGCACCAAGGTCAAACATGTAATTGTAAATAACCTGAAAGAGCTGTTGTTCATTCAGTAACATATGTCTATGATATAAATTACTAGTACAGTGATACTGATTGCAAACACAACTGAACTGATCACATTTCATTCTAAATCTCTATTACAGTAAATATGTTTTATTGCCTTCACTGATAGACTATTAGTAGTGATGAAACTCTGTATCAATTACATTTGACCACAATAATGCAATATGGAAGCTGACTATACAGACTGCAGGGTTAGAAAGTCAGTTTAGTGCAAGTAAAATTGGAGCTATGCAGGTATTTCTGATGTCTACCTGCACCTGAAAAAAAGTAATAATATTTCAAACCCTCTGAGACTTTTTAACAGTAGCAGTTACTAGTAACTGATTCTACATGTACACAATGTGTATTGCTTGTAAACCATTCTGTACATTGTACTTCAGACAGATTTCCTCATCAATCAATTATACAACAATTGCCCAGGACAGGCCAAATGGATGGAAAATTCTTTTCTTTTGGTAAAGACGTATGTACTGTGTTTTGACTACAGTAAGATACATTAAACAGTCATATATTACATGATGTTGACTTGAGACTCAATGACGTCTAGACCACTTCATACAATATTCATACAGACATGATGTTAATGAATGGATGCAAACGTCTGAGTCATGTTCTAACTTTTAAAAGCCCTCAGCCAAGGCAGGGCTCCAAATACTTTTTTCTACATACATGCAGGCAACATTGGAAAGTACCTGCACCACTCATTCAGAAGTACTAGTATGTACCGTACTAAAAACTATTTGGAAATAACTTCCATATTTCCTTTATACTTCATTGATGGCTACAGTCAATGTAGCAAATATAAACCCACATACATGTACACCTATAGCTACATGTATACATAAACCCAGTACATGGACCACTCCAGTGTAGGTTAGGCACAGGTACATTGTAGACATCAGAAATACCTACACAGCTCCAATTTTACCTGCTCAACTTCAAAGTTGGAGCAATATTTACCTCATGTAGTTTCTTGGCATTGTCATGGATGGCCAGAATGTGTGTGATACCGTGTGTGGTCAGTTGTTCACGGTCTTTGGAATCTGCATACAGAGACAGAAGAATGGATTAAATCATAAATAAATTGATTTCAAATGCTTCTCTCATAGTATAAAGGGGCATTATGTGACATTTTCGAACCAAAAATTGATATATTTTGATTGAAAAAAAAATGTGATTGTAATTTCGGAAGGACTTTTCAACATAAATTGTGCAATTATCTAATACTTCTGACATTTATTGTTGGCACTCAATTTGTGGTACCACCCCAAACTACCAGAATGTAACCAGATGTGTTTCCAGCTTTTAAACAATTTTTGTATCATTCTGATGTTCCATAATGCAGCTTTAAAAGTATGTGTGGGGGTTGGGTGTGGGATATGTACTTTCCTCTGTTTTTCCATACATTTACAATGTATTGATATCCATCAATTGTGAAAACTTAATGGAACACATTCAGATGTTCAATGGAGAAAGTCCACTTATACAAAACATTACATTGACCCATGGCTATTTAGAAATGTGCTGAGTTTAGTAAGCAGGACTTCTAGTGTCCTATCTGATTCTGAGGTTGGCAGTTTCCCAAAGCACACATTACCCAGACTAAAAGCATGGACAGACACAGACATGGAGCGTGCAGTTATCTGCTTTTTCCCCAAGCTTACTTGGACTAAGGCGTTCATTAACTGATTAGGGCCACCCCAATGTCATTCATTGTTTTACATAATGATCTTGTCTTAAAATAAGTGGTATTTTAGAATATAAACTGGAGGTACCTACCTCTGAAATTGCCAATGTATAGTCCAGGAAGGACCTATTGAATGAAGAAAAAAACAATTAAAATTCATAAGTAATACATGTATGTCATTGTCAAAGATTTTATGTATTACTAATTAGTGGTACCAGAAAATGAAGGGACATATCTCATTTTTGAGCATTGAGAATATTTTTGTTTTGCCATCCTGAAATTGCACTGGATGCCTTTAATGAATCAGCAGTTATGATTGAAAAGCCCTCCAGTGCATACTACCAAATGGAGCATCCATTTTTCATTCCCCACGTCTGGCTGAAGTTCGCGGAGGCTAGCAGTCTTGATTAGATGATTTTGTATCTTCTGATTGTGTGATGAGAGTGTCTGTAGCAGCACATTCATCACCGGCAGATTACGGCAGTACCTAATGGCATCTTTCCAATAATGTTCTCAGCAGTTTTAATCTTGTTTTGGGAAGAGATTTTTTGGGGTGGGGGCGGGTAGAGTTGGCTTCCTCTGCTATAAATTTGTACAAAGCAAGGCAATTTCATACATATAACATTATTTATCATTGTAGTAATAATACTTCAGCCAACATTTCGAAGACCGTCTGTCATCTTCATAAGGGCTAACATGACTGCTTTACTGTGTACTACAGCTAGGTGTTACATGTATATGTACATGGTTCACTTTGCACTGGAGCTACTAGATGTTACTGACTAACTTGTTTAACAATGCAGTCCCAATCGTAAAACAATTGTGACATACATACTACGTAATGTTACAACATAGTGTTATTCTGTTACATGCAGTTCCAAATGTGAAGTAGAGTTATATATAATACTGTTACAGTTGTTTCTGTATTATTAGCAATTTATCCACAGCATCTGGGCTATTAGCAAGTGATTCCTCTACAGCACAGTAGCTTTTGGCACCAAAGATATGACAAATTATGGTCTTAGATAGTTAAAGAATCTCAATTGAATCCTTTTCAGCACCAAGGACGGGTTAAATACTACTGGTAACTGCTATATATTGTAATTTAGTCAGTGTAAACACTGGATAATTCAGCACAGTGCTTTTAAGAATAAGAAAATTATCATAACAGGTTTTTCCCACAACATTTAACATATTTATTCTCATATATATAGCAATAAATCAAATATGCAGTAGTAATAATAGATAACAACAGATAATTTTTAAATAGCGCTAATTAAAATTGGTGTTGTAACACCTTACACAAGACATAGATAAACATTTAATCAAAGTATGGAACATAAGCAAATGAATAAGAAAGCTGCATTTCAAGAATGAGAATTATACTGCCTTTTATTCTTTTGGTCCATATTTCCACATACAAAGTGGAGACAACACATAAATCAGAATACTGACAGATACATGCAAGAGCACTACTTGAGTAGCAGTGCAGTCTGTCTGGCCTGTCATCTGGGTTGATTTAAGACAGGAAAGCCTGACTGTGTACTGAGGGGATTACATTTCCTTTGTATGTGCTGCAAACATGCTTGTACAAATGTAGAATGTTGGACATTTCCCACATGGACGTAATTTATGTGAGTGCACATATGGGGAGTGGGGGGGGGGGCATTGACCTAACCCATTTGAAACTAGGAGCAAGAATCATGGCCATGTATGGTGGAACTAGAAAAGGAAGGGGTGAAATAAATATTTGGTAAAAGGTCTGATGTGAATGTTTTCACCACAGGAAGTTAAAATGTGTGGGTGTAGAGTCGTGGGAACAGGTTTTCTATACATGAAGGCATTTGCTTCAAGCAAATACCAATGTCTGAATTTTCAAAGTTGTCATACCTTTTTCATAATCTATGGTACTATGATGTCAGGAAATAAAGAACAGTATTTTAACATTTTCTATTATCTTTTATTTCAAAACTTAAATAAATCCTTTATTCAAAAATTTAAATCACTTATAAACTGACTGGCTTGTATGTTTTAGATATTCATGTTGAAATTTTGATAAAAAAAGCTGCAAAGTCCCAAAATGCTATTTATTAGATTGTATATCTTATTATTACCAATGGATGGAGAAATATCTAAAATTCACTGCATGGTATACTAATGTAGCATCACTAATATATGCAATATCTGTATTCATTGTTCGACTATCCATTTCAGACCTAATTTTATTACCAGACTGCTCCAAGTAACCTTGTAAGGATTAGAAATCCACGCCTGAAGAGAAAATTGGATCACGTAAATTTCATTACGAGACGCTGCCCCTGCAAGATTACTTTTCCAAATTAGAACGCAGATAGGAGACAGATACTGATGAAACCAAGGTCTCCTCCAGGTGTTTTATGACAACCTTGCCATCTTAATGAATCCTGAGATATTTGGGGACTGTCTCGTATTTGAAAATGTAATTTGGTTACTGATTCATGGGGAGAATGGAGCTGTCTCGCTTCAAGGGGAACTGATATGCTTGTCTAATGCTAGGGCCCTAATTGAACGAGGGATTTCTAAGTAAACTTTCCTTGCTGATTGAAGCACATTTCTATTGGTCCAATTTCCCGTGTACAATAGCATTCGAAGAGATTGGATTAAGTATAGATAGAATATTTGTTTTGAAATAGTTACCTCATCTGACATGTATGAAGGAAACCTTGTCTTCAAATCATTTGTTTCTTCATAACCCTTTCTTTTTATTGACATTTTCAAAAATATATTCAACAGAGAGCATGGCACGTTGTACGTATAATGAGTGGTTACATTTAAACATTACCCTGCCCTTGAGGTTTATCCTTTAGTAAATAAACCAATAAGGAACTGGTCTACTCTTATAATAGCTGACGTCCATGTACATGTAAACCCTTACTCATACCCTTACCCTTGACATTTAGACCTACCCTGAGGTTATCTAACAGTAGAAGGGATGAAGATGTTATTTTCTACTATCAAGGTCACCTTCACAGAGTGGCACCATCTTCTGACTACCAATGGCGGCCTCCGGCAGTGATGATGTCATCGTGGACGTACATGGGTACATTTCAGGTTCAAACGACCTCAGGGTTAGAACTTCATCCAGCGAACCCGTAACACTACTAACAGATTTGGGCAGTTATGCTAGCTATTGATAGGGAAAGTATGTCAAGCCATTTTCAAGTACCATGTGCGGAAACAAGACTTGTTGTTGTGCTTACAAATATTACAAGGGCAAGAGGGATACAGGCCCTGAATGGAAGCATACAGACTGTTGCTATACAATGTATATCAACTGTGTGCTGCCTACTAATGTTACATACTAGTACATGTACAAGGGTTGTGCAGTTTGATGTCAACCAAATCACTACTGCAGCTTGCAGTCCATACAAGTTGATCTTTTTTTCAACATATGATATGATGATACCTGATGCATTTTTATAATTTTTGTATACCATGGTTCGAACTCCCCAAGTATGAAATAGTGATGAAAATGTACTAAGAAATGGCAGTAAATGTCAGATTTTCTTATCCATAATATTTTTGTTTTATGAAATTAATATGCATTGGATGTCTTTAATGTCCCCTCCCAATGAAAAAGGATTATGAACTAGTTAATGAAAAACTTTTACTACTGCAGCCTTTTTAGCTTACAGCTTCTAAGATTAGTAAGAAGCCATAGTCACCCTAGAAGACAAATGGCTTGTCTAAACCATTTATCTCTGACAGGCACTAGGCAATCCCTATTACTGCTCCATGGGTTTCCTGTCAGGTACTCTGATCAATACAAACATAATATGATGTTGGAAGGAGTTGACTGACCTACATACATGCTGTGGAACTCATTACTAGATGTACAAAAGAAGGCAAATTAATCATCTTCTCCTTATTATAAATACAAAAATGATGTTGTAACAAAGGAAAAATAAAACTTGGCTGCCACCCTGAAATTTCATTGGATGCCTTTTTAAGATTTTATTGGGTTGAAAGCTTAACGTCGTCCCAACCTGTAACTTGAACATGCATAATTGGGCTTGGGCTTGAATGTCCTTTAGCCTAGTAGGACCGTGGCATTTGACCCTAAGTGAAAGGGTTTCAGATCGCTTATACCCCACTGATCCTTGATAAAACAACAAATATTCATCAATATTTACACAATAACTTATCAATACAGTGCTAGTCATGAATGATGGAAGACCTTTATTGTACACATACCCACTGGGTAAGTACACTTACTAGTACATGTGTACGTTGCTTTGTAACTTATTTTTTGTCATATTGCCGGCATTCTGTTATGCATGGACTTTCTCCCATCAGCTCTTCTGCTCTGAAAGTCCATGTCATGCACTTTGCCACATACTTGTATAAATATTTTGAAAGATGATATATGGACAGGTTTCCCCTAGACACTGACTATCTGCATGGGGATTACGCATCAGTGTTCTCACTAGGCTGTTTGAGCATAGGGGACCCCTACACTGTGATTTGGACCTCCTATGCTGTGATTTACCCCTGTATACACTGGTATACCAGTATATACTATACAGCGTAGGGGTGTTTCTTTTGGGGAGAACCTTCTGACCCTTCATAAATCTCAAAAACTAAAATTCAACTTCAGAATGAAGCTATAACAGAGAGAAAACATAATAATATGGTCATGTCTTCAGGACTCAATGCACAGCTTGTACCATAGTAAAAGTTACCCCACTGTACCTGACCCCCTACACTGTGAAGATTCTGCATTATAGATTATCAGTGGCTAAAAATTATCAGTTCTCATTCAAAGCAATTCAAAAATGTCTGTGATAAACTGCAATCACCAACTGATTGCACTTCAGTTAATTAAATTTGTGTCTCTGATTAAGAATTACTGTATGTGACATTAAAACAACTGATCATGCATCACTGAAAATACGTGTGCTTCACAATAGTCAGTATTGACATGAAGAATATAAATCATAAATATCTAAATATAAATACTAAATATATACTGGACGAAGTTTCATATCTATGAATCACATATTGTGGTTCTTAATCATTCTGTGTAGGTATCTTTATAGCCGGTATAACCGCCCTTTGGCGTAACACACCAGCTTTGCAGGCACGTGGCACGGTGGCAGCTGGCTACATTACACCGAACGACTTGTTACACCTAGCCATTGAACATTGACATGTTTGATGCTGATATAATTCTTTTCCTTACTACATGTATTTATTTCTTCATCAATAATTAAGTAATAAGTGTACTACTGCAAGCATGAAATATAGCTACTCAATCAATCTGACATCTACATTAACACTTAATTGTCCATCCTCATTCAACAAGGTAATCAGTGATGGCAGACTTCACCCCTTTAATTACGTACTTCAAAACATAAACACACGAACGTACACTTCACTGCTTTTGGTTGAAGGCATATAGGCACAGACAGATCCTTTAGGAATATCAAAGAAACTTGTCTTACCTTGTTCATACCATTTCCCATGTTCTTCTTTCCTCTTCAGCGCGTTTGTGTGTCACAATGCCGCGGCCACGCCCCCCAAATTACCAAACAATTAACACTTCACGCCCCTGCTAACTCGGTCCTCTTGTCACCCGTCCCCGGACGCCGCGTCTAGCTCGCTTTGAACCGCTGTCTATCGTCCTCACCCGCCGTCCAACAGTCTGATCACCCGCTAATCTGCCCTGGAAGTATCACCGCTGAGAGAGAATCTCGCAAAATTAATTTGATTCCAGCTGATTGATTGACAAGTAAAAAGGGACGATGTTATGAACGTTGTCATGCCTTCGCTCGGCTCAGCAGGCGGGGAAACACTCGATTTTTGCGCGGTTCAACCGAGCTCTGGCCGGAAAACACGCATCCTGGCAGTCACGGGGTGATCACATCGACTTATGAAGGCTTGTTTCTGGCATACGACGTAAGAAATTCTTTGCCCGAATCGGGACTGGGTGGCGCCGAGCTGATTTTCTCAACAAAACTGGCCGGTTCTGCCTCATAAGGGATCACTTCCGGGTCACGACAGGATTTCCGGTCAGAAGGTCTTGAAGCGGATACCAGTACACCGAATAAGTAATTTGTGACAGAATATTTTAGCGAATATAGACCTAATTATTGAACAAAAAACAACTCTGGATAATTATCAACTTACTAGGCTATTCTGAATTCAAGTTTTGAGAATAGAAAGTGAAGTTACGAGGATGATAATTTTTTAGAGTAAATTAGAAAACTCCATACTTAGCCTAATCAAATAGGGTGTTGATATGGACGCCAGTTGTTGGTGACACAAAAAAACGACTGTCAACATTGAATATTTTGTCGTCCGCTGCTCTCTTGTGGGGCTAAATTTAGGACAAGAAGCCTGTTAAATTTGTCTAGGGGTTGAGATCGAAACAACCAACAATGTCAAGGACTCAGAAACAGGTATGAAAAGAGATTTGTGTCTGGTACTAGAGACAAATCCGCCCCCTCCCACCCTTTTCATCAATTTTGCAGATGACTAATGTCTGTTCATGTTATCACGTTCACGTCAACTGCTATTTGAGACACGTTTAAGCTATACGTATGCAGAATTGTTGTAGTCATTGCCAATAGTAAAAAAACAATCCTGTTTTGTCATCGTTTTGTTGCTAAATTATATGCATGTTACTTATAAGTCAAAACATAATCAACTTGCAATTTATATAGAAAAGGAAATACCTAGTGCAAGTATATTCTTGCATCAAGAAAGGCTCCTGTCTGGGGCATATCATGAACATGTGATATATTGAACACTGATGCTTGCGAACGATTGATTGACTTTCAATTCAGTGCAATTCAGTTGATATAACGTTATCTTTCATACAGTTGTTGGGAGGTAAAATTGTCACATTTTCTTACAATGTACTTGGCCATTTATGTTAAATATCAAGTGTGTAGAACAAAAACAGGCAGCTAGAAAAATGTAAATCATAACATTTTGCCTCCAGACATCTGCTTGGAGATGAGCTGATTCGCTGTCTGTCACTTTCACACATGAATGTATTTAAGTTGTGAGTAATCTTAGTGTGACAGCCCTGCTAATTGTGTTATCTATTTCCGTAGCCGAGTTATCTTGGGAGGCCGGTACAGAAGAAGACAATCGGGTGAGTCACTGAGTCACACCTTCTCAGGCCTAGGAAAAAAATGTTGTGTTTCCTGTGTTTCAGTCCTAAAAAATTGGGCTCGGTAGGTAGGGATTTTCTCTTCTCTTTTTTTTTAGACTTTGGTGATCTCTAGTAATCCAACTTAAACGATATAGTTTAACAAAACTTGCATGAGAACACTTTTGTTTTCAATGTCATTGTTGGAAAACTGATTGTACAATGTTTCATCACTCAGATCTGTGTCAGATCGTGAAGCTAGAAAAAATCCATCAGCTCGAAAATTCATGTCCCTTGCAGGGGTCCATCAAAAGAAAGGCTAGGGTTGGTATTTTTTTCTAGGGTTGGTCAGGATACAGGAAACATTTTTTTCCTAGCCCTCACATCATTACATGATTTGTCACCCTGAAATTACATTGGATACCTTTAAAAATATATGTTTAAATGACATATTCAACTTGAGGTCTTAATAGCTTTTTTTTTTGCTCTTAGTCTTACTTTAATTGCATGATGAGGGAATCACTTCCTTCATCGCACTATATCTGCTGGTTAACATCTGACAATGAAGTCATTTCCTGCTGCCATAGTCTGATACTTTATACAATTATAGTACAATATTCATGGGTAACAAATATAGATATGGAGACATATATTCAGATGCAGCATTTTTGCCATTGCTTTAAAGGTAATGACCAAAAGTTGTGAATCAGTGCCTCTTCTGACCGTTACATGCACTCTGTAATGGGACATATAAAGCACATTCCAAACTTGGTTGGAACTTGCTAGAATAGGGGAATAGCAGTGGGTTCAAAATACCCACTTATGCAGTCTCACAACACAAGTCTGTACAAGACTTACTGGAGATGCTAGGTTGCCTGGCGTGCATTAGTTATCATTTTATAATTTTTTTTCATGGATGAAGCAACGATTTCAATTCTTACAGCGGCCCGGCCTACAGCTTCTAAAATAAACTGTGTCCCGCCTCGGCCAGCATGTGAGCAATACCTAAATTACACCTGGGGCCTGGCCTATGACTTGCCTTCTAAAATGAACACTGTCAGTTGGTGTGGATGGCAATCTAAAATATTGATGTGCAACCTAGCTTTTGGCTTAAGTTGCCCAGTGGGCAGCCTGAGAAAAAATGTATTTTGAATCCTGTATTATGTTGACTTGATTTTGTACTGATTGTATGACATGACCATAAATTCCAGAGACCGTGTGGTGAGGTTTAGGACTGCTCTATCCAACACTATCCTGGATGTGCTCAAGGGGAGAGGATGGCAGGAGGTCCAGGGGTAAGCAAAGTTATATAGAGTCCCTATTCATTTGTACCACCCTATTTAGATATTTGTAGCTCAAGATATATTTCTTCTTTTCTTCTACTGTTTCTGTTGTTGAAAAGGTACATGAAGTTGTTTTTCCTCCCTGTAGGGACATGGAGTGGGACTTCTACTGGTGTGATGTGGGCTGGATGCGAGAAGTGTTTGATCACTACTACATGGAGGAACACTGTCGTATTAACCACTTCAGGAACCACTATGAGGTTAACACGAGTCTTTGTTTGTTTGCTCAAATCAAATAAATGGTAAACTGCCTTTAACTGTAACTCACAGTTTTTGTTTCTATTACATGTAAGTACCCAGGACCGTAAATTAATAAAAAAGTATGGTGGGTTCTGTTTTACCAATAGTCCTTGTAAGACAAGAAGAAAACTGTTTTAAAAAGTTCTTTTTCTTCCTCAGCTGACACGAAAGAATCTGATGGTGAAAAATCTGAAGAAGTTCCGGAAGCAGGTGGAGAGGGAGCAGGGCAAACTAGAGGCCTCCAAGTATCCTTTATCAGGAGCTGTACTTGCATTACATTGTGTTGTTGTTCACTCTTTACTAAATGTTTTAATAGCCTGCTTGACTGTTAAGAATGGATTTTAACAAAATATGATAATTGTGTTCTGTTCCTTGACCCCCTCTAAGATGTGATTTCTTCCCTACAACATTTGAACTACCAGTAAGTACATTTTCTAGTAGAATTACCCCTTTTTCTTTGAGTCCATCAATATAATGCATTGTGTAGGTATTTCTCAGTAGCATAATGTATAGCACTTGCTGTCATCGTATACAAGTAGTCATGTTCTTAATTAATGAAGTCCTAAGTCAGATTTATCTGTTTTATGGTCTATTTTTATAATGAAGTTATTACCTTCATTGCTCACCTCAGATTTTCAGTCACACATCCGTTGACCTTCTTCATCATGGAATGTGGCAACACAGCTTTCATGCTAATGGTCCATTTTTAATAAGGTCTGTTTCTTTCCTCCTGATTTTCCCCAGTCGGAGTACCACATGTTTGTTGAAGAGTTCAAAAGAAACCTGGGGAGCCTGTGGATCATGAAACCTGTAAGTCTTTATATTATTATGCTGTATACTTCTGTTTATATGTTTGGGCCTTTGTTTATTCATAAAATACACAAATCGGCCTGCTGGCTGCTTTTCATCGAGATCATGACAGAAGAGGTAAGGTTTAGACAAAATATAACAATTATGATGTAGGTTACATGATTGGAATAAATCCGCAGACACATATCCTTTCACATACATCTAGTACTAGTAGTACATGGTATAACAAATACCAATATCACAAAATGAATGTTGGAATATATCCTTTTTTCAGATTGCTAAGGCTCAAGGCAAAGGCATATTCCTCTTTAGAAAGCTGAAAGACATCACAGACTGGAAAAAGGTAAGACTGACAGTGGCCTTTTCAGATTACTGAGCTGTGATGTACATGTGCACCTGGAAAGAACCTATTATAAACCTTTCTTCTAACAAAAAGTAAAATCCCAAGATCTAATGTCTGCCACACTTTATAAAGACCTGTACGTCCATGTCTGCTTTTAAAATAAAACGTTTAACGTTAGTTATATTACATAGGTCCCTTTTCTACTATATACATGTAAACAAGTGACATTTTGCTGCCTTTCTAGGAAAGCTATAAGTCTCAGGAGGAGAGAAGAAATGATGACAAGGAGCCAGTTGAGACGTACATCGTACAGAAGTACATCGAGAACCCGTATCTCATCGGGGGCAAGAAGTTTGACCTCAGGGTGTATGTCCTCGTCACTTCTGTAAGTCACACTTTTTTCAAACATATTTTACCATACATTTGACTTTCAGTTCTGCAGCAATAGCACATTGTTTTGTGGGCTAAAATTAGTCAGCTTGTAGCCAGCATAAACCTTTTTGTCATCTCAATCAATTAATCTATTTCCTTGCAGTACATCCCCCTGAAGGCTTGGCTGTACAGAGAAGGGTTTGCCCGGTTTTCCAACACCAGATACTCCCTGGACTCCATTGATGACACCTGTATCCTTTAGTTTTTGTCTTACCTAAAAGAGAGCTTATTATACAATGTAGGGAAACAGTGCATAATATAGTCTTTTTGTTGTTTTAGTGTAATAAATGTTGCAATTATATGAACTTTCATGATCACATTTGTAACCTTATTTCATGATGGAAATGTTAAATATTCAAATGCAAACTGTAGTCCTTGACTCATTCTCTCAGACATCCATCTGACCAATGTGGCTGTTCAGAAGACTGCACCTGACTATGATCCAGAGAAGGTGCATAAGTCTTGCCAGCAGTTTCATTTATTTCTTTTTCTTCACTTTGTTCCAACAAAAAGAAATAGTCATTCAACTAGCCTCTACCAGGCTTCAGAAGTGGCTGCATGGGAAGAGTTGGTGGCAGCCGCTTCCGAAGCCTGCTAGAAGCTATATATTTAACAATTAATTCTTTTGTCTGGGGTTAATACACACCTCGTATTTTCTACAGGGCTGTAAGTGGTCACTGAACCAGCTGAGACAGTACCTTATAGCAAGACATGGGATAGAGGCGGTAAGAAAACAGCTCCTTCACATTTCACAATCACATGTCACTTAGTTTTAGGACTCCGTACCCTCTTGGTATAACCATGGCAGTTGTAGTTAAACAAAACATAAATCTTTTGAGAAGAGCGAAAAAATGGTCTTATTAGACTTCAAGGACTCGAAAGACTTTTAGCTAAGAACACAATGTCATCTTTTTGAAAAAAAGAACATTTAGTGACACATTATAACATGTAACTATTGGTTCAGTACCAAGGACAGAGTCTGTATATATTTTACAAAACACAAATCTTCAAGAAGTGGAAAAACAGTCTCATTAGACTTCAAGAACAGGAAAGACTTTTAGCTAAGAACTCGTCTGTTAAAAAAAAGAACTTTTAGTAACATGGTATGGCATGTAACGATTGGTTCAATACCAAGGACAGAGTCTGTATACACAAATTTAAGAAGTGGAAAAACATTGTTTTTTTTTTGTCTTCAGGTGGAAGACATGCTGAAGAAGATGGATGACATCTTTATCTACAGTCTTCTGTGTGTGCAGAAGATCATGATCAACGACAAGCACTGCTTCGAGCTGTACGGCTACGACATCATGCTGGATGACAAGCTGAAACCGTATGTAACATACAAGTTCTTTTTACACATCAACCAGCCTTTTCTCCACTGATGTTTTTGTAGTCTCTTGATTATTTGATTTTGTACTACAATGTGTTCATTCTTGCTGTGTCTACTAGTTTTTCAGTCATATTTCGCCCTAATTTCGTGTTGCAACTTCACCAAAAAATTTGCACCTGATGTTTGGTTTGCAATATTATGCTGTTCAATTCACAATTATGGTGCTATCAGTAAACAGTTTTGGATTTCGAAATTCTTTCCAACTACTGTAACCACTTCGCAATGACATAGAGTGCAATGTACTATTAGTACTAAGTTTCAACATGTAAGGAAAAGTACAATGTTGCTAATGTCTGAAGAAGTTCCTGTGTTTGTTTCCAGGTGGCTGATTGAGACGAACGCCTCTCCCTCGCTCACGGCCAGTAACCAGGAGGATTACGAGCTGAAGTGTCGTCTCCTGGAGGATACGCTAAATGTCGTGGACATGGAGGGACGGTGAGAAACACTACAACCACATTAGGCCTAGGAAAGAAATGTGTTTCCTAGTGAAAACCCGCCGACCCTCGCCTTGTTTTTATTGACGGGTGGCAAGGCTATATAATTTTCAGTCAGGTATTTGAATTTTAACTGCTCTGAATTCTACAGGCATGCTCATCTTGATATTCCTAAAATCGTTTACATGTATTTCTCCTGTATGTTTTCCACAGACTGACAGGGAAGGAGAAGAGGATTGGTGGGTATGACTTGATGTGGAATGACGGCCCAGTGACACTAGAAGAGGGTGGTCTGGACTGCATGTCTGCTCCAACATACACCACTAACACACATCTAGGTAAGTACAGGTCATTGTACATGTGTATTTACTGCAACCTACACCACAAGTACACATCTAGGTAAGCGCAGGTTACTTTAGTATACTGGGGTACTTACTTTACTACACAGATAAAATTCTAAATTAAGAACACAGTTTGAATAGAAAGCAGTAACATTAATCTTAGTCTCTCACACTTATTCAGTGTTCACTTCTATGAAACATAATTTTTGTTAGAAATTTGCATAAGTTTTAAGATACAAAGAATACCAGTATATGTGCATCTGCTCAACGTTTTGCTTCTCTGTCCTTTCCCTGCAGGTTGTTTCAATGACAGAGAGAAGCAGCTGAAGCAACTGTTCCGGTCCTTACAGATGGCGAAGAAGACCACAACTGTATAAACTATAGTTTATAAGACTTAGTCTACTGCAATGTAATAGGGTGTTTGCACTCATGTGAATAACTTACTAGGTAATTTTGATTTGTAATTAGTTCCATGATTATGACACCATGTATAAATTTATAGGCCAGTGTTCTAGCTAGCTAGAAATTTTTTACATCATCTCAACTTTGTTTGACGGAGGTGTGACAATCCAGGAAAATTTAGAAATGCTGTTTCCTGTATTTTGAGGGCCATATTTTTCTGGTAGACTAAGCTTAGTTCAATGCAATCTTTCCAATCCTAAAATGCCATTTTTTTCTCCATATCAGAGATGACCAATCATGACCAGAGAAATTCTGATAAATGAGGGGAAAACAGATGCTGGCTAGAACACTGGGTCTTACTACTAGGTGTAGGTTTAACCATCTCTTTTTGCTACCTCCATGGTTTAACCAACAGGACAGGCCAAGATTAGGAAGCTAGTGTTAGCTAGTATTAGGCATCTTTATTTATAGATGTTGTACATATATGTGATTATGTTTCTGTATATTTGCGCAAATTGCAACTTGTTCTATGTAACACGACTGTCTGTTAATACTTTGATTCCTTCCATTTTCACAATATGTACATTTACTTTACACACTTATTCATTGCTTCAAATATACAGATGATGTGAGTGGAGATTAAAAGAAACTAAACACTGGATCCATCTGTGTGATTTTTATTAGTCCAAAATCTCAGGACTTAGTTGCCAACAAGATAATGGATACTAGGAATGATCACTACACTACCGAGGAAGTAATTGATGGAGTACCCCCAATATCTGCTAGGAGATACCATTAATCCACAGCCATATAAAGTCTAGGTAATACCTAGACTTGTATTTCTCATACAGTTAGCTAAGCAAAGCTGAACCTATAACAAAATGAATGCACCCTGAACTGTTACTCACATGGTTATTATTGAATTTAAAACCAAAAATAACAAAACTAATGAACTTTACACCAAAAACTAGAACAGATGGAATGGCCCGAATGCCAGAGTTATGGTCCCTGCAGTACTGGCATTAGATATATTAAGGTATATTGCAGAACACTTTGTATGCAATACATACATGTACTTCTGAACAGTTGTTTTCCCCATTTACACCTTCCACCAACAAGCAACATGAAAAGTTCAAGTATTACACATCCAAAAGTTACTTGTCCCTAAATGGGGACTATTTGCAAAATCAGACGACATTGTCTCCCTGAGAAAATATGATCAACTTTGTCAACTAGCACAGTAACTTGTAACAACAAACAGGCTCTTGGGACTCTCACTAAAACTTCACATATATACATGAATGTGCATATTGCATTATGATTTAGCAACTTGAACACTGCACCATCTGTTCCTGTTGCTCATAATCAAATAGTTTCTACTTTGCCCTCTGAGACCGAGATTGTCTAGCAGTCTTTTTAGCACGTCCTGGGGCTTTGTCTGCCAAACTATCCTCCTCAATCACTGCTTTCTTCCTTGGTTTCTTCCCAGGTTTTACACCTTTTTTACCGCCAGACCTTTTCTTTTTGCAGTGTTCAGGATGGTGGACTTTCATGTGGGACCTGAGAGAGTTGGACTGCCGTCCGCTGTAGTTGCATAGAGTACAGTTGAACGGTGTGTCTCCCGTGTGAATCCTCATGTGCACCCTAAGATGATCTGTCCTCTGGAACATCTTACCGCAATACGAACACTGGTAGCTGCGTTCATCTGTGTGCACTTTATAGTGTACTAACATCTTTGCCTTCGCACCAAATGTTTTCTTACACCCTTCATACGG